ATACTTTAATCAACGGGCAATCAAGAACATAATTAGTGAGGGGTGTGAGACCTTAACATACACATAGTTTACACTTGGTGTCATTATCATTAACACCTATTCCATATTTCCAGTAATATTTGTACCCAAACCTGAGGCGAATGTTCACACACATGATCTTGGAATGCATTAAGTAGTGATGTGGTGGAGGCTGACTCCATACACAGTTTCAAATGTATATATTATAGAGCCCAATAGGCTCAGGAATCTGTACACCAGTTGATTGACAGTTGAGAGGCGGGACCAAAGAGCCAGAGTTCAACCCCCGCAAACACAACTAGGTGAATACAGAGTCACTCCAAGTGTTTCTCCTTTTACCATAAGTAAAAGGGGTGTTTTGACTCACATACATGTAGTGTTGCATGGTTTGGCTTCCCTCATACATTATTTTTCTCCTCGCCACTTCTACCTGTGCCTGAATATTTCTAATTTTGCTTCTTATTTGTCTCATTGTGAAAACACATTCAATGTCAACTTGTGGTTTAGATGTGGCACGTTTGGCCAAGTCATCCACCACCTCGTTGAGCACTATTCCAACATGAGTTGGAATCCACATGAATTTCACTTTGTGACCTTTCAGCTGTATCTCATTTATCCTTTTCTTACAATTCTCAACTATGGACATGAAGACTGGATTTCGACTGTTTAAGGAATCAAGTGCTCCTCGGCTATCGACAAATGCAGAAACATCTTTGCCATCTTGACGTCCTCCCTCCAAACAAGCCAGAGTGGCTTGTAGTTCAACTTGTATGGATGATATATCATTACTAAACCGAAGTACAATTTTCCTGTCCACATTTCCAAACTCAGTATATCCCATTAATAGGCTACCACACCCTGCCCTGCCATCCTCCGCAACCGACCCGTCACAATATACATGTAAACTATTGCCTCTTGGGAACCGAGATATCATGCTTCCATACAAACACCATAATTGTCCTCGGTTCATGATGAATCTTTTTCACCTTGAGGGGTACAATTTCGACTACTATTTTCTGTACTTTCCAGGGAGCAGACCTATTACACTGGTGAGAGGTTTTACAGCAGTCAAGAACATCGTATTCCCTGAGGTAATGCGCTAATCCCTTCGTGGAGCATGTCTCTCAGTTTCCTGGAAGTGTGTACGTCACTCAAGCAAGTCTGAACGCTCTGAAACAGCTTATCCCCCTCCCTTTCTCTGCATGAAACGAATAGATACTCTAGTGTTAATGTCACGGACTCTATCATCATTCTTCTTAATTCCATTCTCATTATTTCAATCATTGCATTTCTTTGACATCCAAGAATAATCCTCATAGCTTCTTTTGCATCAGCTCTATTTTTTAAAAATTCTGCCTTGCCCTGTGGAAGACAAAACGGGTGCTGCATAGTCTATCAGGGACCGAACAGTGCTAATGTATAACATCCGCAAGATAGGTACCCCAACACCTTTACCAGAAAAAGCCAGTGCTTTTAGAGGATGCAGACGGGCTCTGCACAAGGTGCTAATGTGCACCTTGTGCAGAGCATTTTTACTCTCACATGTGCATCCAACATACATGCCCAGATACTTGTACTTCTAAACATGACTCAGTTCCACACCATTTAGAGTGTTATATTTCTTCGTTTCCTATACTCATATTTGGTTTTGTCTGCATTGATAACTAAGCCCATCTTGGACAGGTTGTACCAAGTATGTTAAGAGCAGTTTGAATTTTCTTCCCAGAAGTGCCTTGTATAAGAATGTCATCATAATATATAATCGTCGTGATCCCTGGAGGATACATCTCTGATGCTATTCTGTTCATTGCTACATTGAATATGGGGAGACGTAAAACTCCCCCTTAGGGGGGTACCTAACTGAAACCTCCGTTCCTCAGACATGTATCCCTGGTAATACACCTAATCTTTTCTTCCTTGTCGATAATCTCGTATCCAAAGTAGCAATCTCCCTGTTATTTCCAGATTGGCTAATTCGTATAAGACTTCTTACCCATTGCTTTATCAAATGCTCCTTGCAGATCAACAAAACTCTACAATTGTCCTCCACATTAGACAAACACTTTATGATACAGTCTGCAGTACTTTTGCCCTTGATAAAACCAGAGACGTTATTGGATATGTTATCTCCTACAAGGTAGAGGGAAGTATTAATAGGGTGGGAATGGAAGTAATAAGTAATAAATAGAGGGAAGTAATAAGTAGTATCTCCCATATTTTTAATAAATTATTTTTCTTATCTATATTAATATTTAGTCTATTCTTTTGAAAGGATATTTAACAAAATCCTTTCCATCATTTTACAAAAGCAGGATGTTAAGGATACAGGCCTGTAGCCTTCGTTTGATTTAGGGATAGGAATGATGACAGCCTCTTTCCATTTTCTTGGTAACTTTCCCTCCCTATAACTCATGTTAAACAAATCAAGTAAGGGACTAGGTTTCATACCGGCTACATAATTTAGAATGTCATACGTTACTCCATTTTTCCAAGGAGCAGTAGAGCTGCCACTTTTTATAGCATCAAGTAGCTCATCGTAAGTTATCTCAGTGCATGTTACAGATCTTGTATTTAAAGCACATAAAGTTACTCCATTTCTAATATTTTCCCATGACTCAATGGTGACTCTCGTGTCTGCAGGTAAAGACTCCATACCAGCAGCACTTGCCCATTTATCTACTAACTCATTAGCAACCTTCCCTGGATCTGAGTGAGCAATGAATTTGGTCTTACAACCCCTGATTTTGTTTACTGCTCTCCATATGTCTATAAGGTTTTTAGTATTACCAATGGACTGAGCAAAGTCTTGCCAGTATCTGTCCCGCGCCTCCTTCCTCACCTGACTGCATTCCTTAGCCACTTCCAACATTGTATTTTTCTCTTCATCCCTCATTCCATTTTTTAATCATTCTTTATGTGCACTCCGTAGCATTCTCTCCCACCCTTTAACTTGCTGATCATTGGAATATTTAAATTTCTTAGATCCATGCGTCTTCCTTCCCCCGCCTCTGTTAATTTCCCTCTGTACTAATTTCTCTATGGTCTCCACCATGTCCTCGTAAAAGCTATCAACGCAGAGAGGAGTGTATTGTTGATACCAATCTCCCATATTTTTAAAAAATTATTTTTCTTATCTATATTAATATTTAGTCTATTCCTTTGAAAGTGGACTTGTTTTTCCCCAGTGGCAATTCAACATTTAAGGCAAATTGGTTACTAAGTAGTTCCTGAACAAAGCGAGCCTCCCCCATTATCCTCTGAGAGTTTAAAATGCAGGCATAGTGAAGCCGTCCTCCCCTGACGTGAGTTGGTTCATTGTTTCCCGAGACAGGTATCTGGATGATCTTGTAGAAACTGTAACCACTTGACCCCATTAGCATTAATACTTCCCACTGCCCCAAGGCTTGTGTGCCAAGCATTTAGGTCCCCAATGACCAGTGAAGGGTTAGTATAAATGCAGTCAGGTAGATAGTGAGCGTCGAAGCATTTCCTGGATATATACAAATTAGCTATAATAAATTCTTCTACCCTTAATGATAATTTAAGACAGACACTCTTTATACCTTGTGGTTTTGACGGTGGTTCCACTGACACTGCTGGTATGGAGTTCTTAATTTAAATCGACGTTCCTCTTATGTTACTTGCGGCAAAAAGGTGAAACTCTTTATATCCATTTAATTTCAATAAGCCTTCATTCCTATCCCCTGTCTCCTGGAGAGCTACAACATCAATATAATTTTCCACCATATAAGAATGAACATCTGGAACCTTGTTTCTTAAACCATTAACATTCCTTGACAACATTTTCAGTCTATGGTTCAGTCAGTTCCTATTATTAAACAATTCACTTTCGAAATTATCCCCAATAAGTTCACTGAATAATAGCCATACCTTGTATAACATCTCCCACCTCCTCCCAATTTCACCGGTAAAAGCAACATTGCATTTCTCGAGAGTTTTTTCAGTCCCTCGACGTCCATTATTGGCCCAACTGATTCCTTAATTTTATTTTACTTATAGAGTTATTCTTTTCACTGCAACTACCATCACTTACACACATTTCACATTCCTTCATGTCATTACTCATTGTTTCATTATTGTCCTCAACCACTATTTCCGGACTTTCCTTCACTGTTTTGTGACTTTACCTTCACCTGAATATTTCGCCTCAATGGACTCGATTCTCTGCCCAAGATTTCGGACGAACTCACCAACTTTCCTTATTTCAGCCCACACATACCTAACAATACCATTATCGCCAGCTTTCTGAGCCCCAGTAACCACCTCCCTCACAGTTACACTGTCACTGCCGGAATCCAGAGTAGTGGAGTTGCTGCCTGTTGCTTGAGCCTGATGAAGTAAAGGTGACTCCTTTACCCACGCATTCGTCCGGTTCACTGGCGCTGTTTGGTGCTGACTTGTCTGCTGAGCTCCCGGTGTTTGAGTGAGAGCTCTTGCCTGTTGTTTAACATTCTCCGGCCGGGGAACATCTATACTAGGCCTCTTGCTACACACAGCTGAGCTGGAGTTGTGAACACCATCGGGGAACTATTTTCTCACCCAGCTGAAGTTTGTTTTTACACAAATTTGAGAGGTGAGACTTTCCGCAGAAACGACACCGTGGATCATGTTGACAGCTCCAAGATTTATGCCCCCCCCCATATGCAGCATTTCAGGCATATCATGGGCTCTTTTACATGCTCTTCTTCTACATGTTTGTAGCCCGCCCCGGTGATGAATACCCTCTCAGGAACTTTACCTCTCACTAGAGCTACAACCTGATTCCTGGTTTCACCTTTAATAAGGGGGACGCTTGGCCCACATAAACCGTTCATCGTCGAGGATGAATTCGAGGTCTAAAATATGAGGGTATTTGTAGATAATCACCTTCGACAGTGTCTTGTTCTCCTCTGGCATTTTCATGACCATTCCACCATATCCTTGCTGGGTCAGAAACATAACTGTCTCCTTAGAACCTACCTTTAAGTAAAGTAACGTCTATTCACACCTTCATTCAGCAAGGGCTCGAACTTGCAGTGCTCTCTTCCCAGGTTGACTGTCCACAGCAGCTTCTTGTGGTAGGTCAGTGTGCATGAAGTAGGGAAGAGAAGCCTCCACCTCTGCTGACAGTCACCTTCTTGACATTGTTCTGCCCTTTCGTCGACACTGGTTTGATCAGTCTCAGCGTCGCACTTCTTTCTCTTGTCGCTTTCGTTAGTTACACTCTCACTGTCAACACTACGCCTCAGATCCTGTCTTCTCTGTTTCTTCTGCCACCATATGTCACTTCTTACATAAGAACAAAGGTAACTGCAGAAGGCCTATTGGCCCATACGAGGCAGCTCCTATCTATAACCACCCAATCCCACTCATATACTTGTCCAACCCGCGCTTGAAACAATCGAGGGACCCCACCTCCACCACGTTATGCGGCAATTGGTTCCACAAATCAACAGCCCTGTTACTGAACCAGTATTTACCCAAGTCTTTCCTAAATCTAAACTTATCCAATTTATACCCATTGTTTCGTGTTCTGTCTTGTGTTGATATTTTTCATACCCTATTAATATTTTCCCTGTTATGTCCATTCATCCACTTGTAAACCTCTATCATGTCACCCCAAACTCTTCGCCTTTCCAGTGAATGCAACTTAAGCTTTGTTAATCTTTCTTCATATGAAAGATTTCTAATTTGGGGAATTAACTTAGTCATCCTACGTTGGACACGTTCAAGTGAATTTATATCCATTCTATAATACGGCGTCCAAAACTGAACTGCATAATCTAAATGGGGCCTAACCAGAGCAAGATATAGCTTAAGAACCACACCAGGAGTCTTGCTACTAACGCTTCGATTAATAAATCCCAGTGTCCTATTCGCCTTATTACGAACATTCATGCATTGATCCTTTTTTTTAAATTCTTACTAATCATAACTCCCAGATCCCTTTCGCAATCCGACTTCGCAATCTCAACACCATCTAGTTCGTATCTTGTAACTCTATCATCATTACCTAGCCTCAGAACTTTACATTTATCAGCATTAAACTGCATTTGCCAATCCTTTGACCATTTCAAAACCCTATCTAGATCAACTTGAAGTGACAGTGAGTCCTCCTCCAAATTAATTTCCCTACCGATTTTCGTATCATCGGCAAATTTGCAAATGTTGCTACTCAAACCTGAATCTAAATCATTTATATATATTATAAACAACAGAGGTCCCAGGACAGAGCCCTGAGGTACTCCACTCACAACATTATCCCACTCTGACTTAACCCCATTTATACTAACTCTCTGTTTCCTTTGGAATAGCCATGCCCTAATCCAAGTTAATATAGCACCCCCAATACCATGAGCTTCTATTTTTTTAATTAGTCTTTCATGTGGCACTGTATCAAAAGCTTTGCTAAAGTCAAGGTACACAACATCACAATCCTTACCACTATCAACTGCCTCAACTATGCTGGAATAAAAAGTTAGCAAATTTGTTAAACATGAACGGCCATTTGTAAAACCATGTTGCGACTCATTTATTAATTTATGTTTTTCAAGATGGAGATGAATTGTATTTGCAATTATTGATTCAAGTAACTTTCCCACAATAGACGTTAGGCTAATTGGCCGATAGTTTGACGCAAGTGATCTATCTCCTTTCTTAAAAATTGGTACCACATTAGCTACCTTGCATGACTCTGCCTGACTATTGATTTATTAAATATGGTAGACAGTGGCTCGGAAAGCTCCTCTTTGCATTCTTTAAGCACCCTGGCAAACACTTCATCCGGCCCTGGGGATTTGTTTGGTTTTAGTTTTCCTAATTGTTTAATTACATTCTTCTCCCATATAAGGGAGCCGAGCGAACAGCACACTGAACTTGTGATCCTGTGTTCCCGGGTTCGATCCCGGGCGCCGGAGAGAAACAATGGGCAGAATTTCTTTCACCCTATGCCCGTGTTAATTAGCAGTAAAATAGGTACCTGGGTGTTAGTCAGCTGTCACGGGCTGCTTCCTGGGGGTGGAGGTCTGGTCGAGGACCGGGCCGCGGGGACACTAAAAAGCCCCGAAATCATCTAAAGATAACCTCAAGATGTCCCCTGGGTTAACACTTCCTGAAAATAACTCTCCTCTACTGACTAGCTGCTTTCTGTGTCCACGTCAATATTTCCGTGGAGAGTAGCCAGTTCTTCAGTTGTCCGATCCTCCACCTCAGTACCCAGCATGGTGCAAGATGTGTATGTTGCAATTGGTATTAGTCAGTCTAAGTATGTGTGTAGCGTGAGATAAACTCCAATACTAACTTCGACCCTAGTCGCAGAACAGATATGCATTGACCCGACCACGTCTCAAGTAAGAATAGTCTTTTGGTCACCTAAATGTTTCTCACAACTTTGATGTAAATTATCTGTCCATATGCATGTGCACCATCCTAGCAGTCTTTACCTTGTCGTGTTAACAGAATCAAGAAATAGCTTTCTAGCCTATATTGTTCCTGGTGCCTTCTCTTCATCTCACCTATGTTTAGTACTTTGCATTTGTCAGTGTTAAAGGAAAGTGATCATCTGTCCGACCACCGCTTGAGTGCATCTAGATCTCCTAGAACTCTCCCTCAAACGTCTTCGTTTGTAAATCTCAGCAATTTGCATAGCCCGCAAGTAAGGATACTTAATGCTTTCTTCTGTTAGTCTGATGACATATATCTCAATCTGAATGACCTGAAAAAATCTCGCGGGGGTACACTACTTACGTTTTTAATTAATACTTGCAATTGTTTGTCGCAGATTTCTCTTCTTCCAGCATTACCCCTGTTTTCAACCAGTGATATGTTCTGTCCTCCATACCAGCACGCCTTTAGTTATGAAATCCTGGTCCCCAATTTTGGGATTGGGACCTACTAAATTGAACTGTCACACGTTTGTTGATTATCAATGAAATACTAACCCTTCTTCCCTTAGTTTTATCATTTTTATTTAAACATAACACTTATAAATTCGTAGAGCATTATCTGCTTTAACTGAATCCATGCTGGTGCTGTGAGAGAAATCTTAATTTTTTAAGTGTTCCAAGAGATGTTTCCTTGCAAGCCTAACCGAGAATGGTCGATATTGCAGCTGCTCTGTAATTTAGCGGCTCTTATGTCCAATATTTCTGGCACCTTGGCACTACATTCGCTGTCTTCCATTCTTTGGAAACTCCCACTTTTTCAGTAATGAATCGAAAGTTAATGGGAGGCTCAAGTCCGTAGCTACCTCTTTCAGTCTCCACAAATACCATTTGTTGTTTACAGTATGTTAGTGGGTGAGTGTTTATAACTTACATACTGCTTGGAGTAACATGGTGAGTGAATGTTGTTGAGAAATATGTTGCTTAGAGTAAGGTGGTGGATAAGTGTTTATGAGTCATATGTTGCTTAGAGTAACGTGGAGGGAGAGTGTTTATGATTCATATTTTGTTTTCAGTAAGGCAGTAGATGAGTGCTTATGGTCCGAATGTTATAGTAAAGCTACATACAATAAGTTTTACAACTTCTTCTGTGTCGTTAAACCTTACTGAAAATCTGAATTGATATGTATTGTTCTATTGAATTAAACATCAAATAAGCACTTGCATGCTCAAGTGAATGGCTGAGTGAGTGTTTGTGATGGTGTTTATGTGTTAGTTATGCCTGGACTATATATATATAGACATTATTTACGTTACTTTCAAGTATTCAAAGACATTCAAAAATTCATGAACATAAACAATTCAACAAATATTATTCATATACAATTTACTCATTTATTAATTTGGTAACTCACTAACCACACAAAACAAGCAACACACTAGATATCATTTTGCTTATTAGATTCTTGGTGTTTATGCACGATAAGATCTGTGTTTATGCAAGGGTAATCAAAAGCTGTCATCGCCCAGCTGTGGGAGTGTCCTCCGCGCCTTGCAGTCCGGAGTTCCACCCAGCTCAAGGTGGTAGGCTTTTTTTACTCTTCTTGTAATAGTGTTTTTTTCTTAAGGTGTGAGTATTAATTTGGAAAAATATAGTACATTTTCGAAGAATCAAAAGATAAAATTGGAGATCAAATCAATATGGATGAGACTGTGGATCATTAGTAAGTCTCGGACACTGCGTTGCCTAAATAATAGTCTTTTGGTTACTTAAATGTTTCTCACAATTTTGATGTAAATTATCTGTCCATGTGCGTGTGTACCATCCTAGCAGCCTTCACCTTGTTGTGTTAACAGAATCAAGAAATAGATTTCTAGCCTATACTATTTCTGGTGTCTTCTCTTCATCTCACCTATGTTTAGTACTTTGCATTTGTCAGTGTTAAAGGAAAGTGTCCATCTGTCCGACCACCGCTTAAGTTCATCTAGATCTCCTTGTACTCTCCCTCAAACGTCGTCGTTTTGTAACTCAGCAATTATGTATAATCCGCAAGTAAGGATACTTAAGACATTCTTCTGTTAGTTTAATGATATATATCACAATCTGAATGGCCCCAAATAATCCCACGGAGGTACACTACTTGTGTTTTTTAATACTTAGAACTGTTCCCTGCTGATTTCTATTCTTTCAGCATTACCCTCTGTTTTCAACCAATGATATGTTTTCTCCTCCACACCAGCACTACTTTAGTTATGAAATCCTGTTCTACAAGTTTGTGATGGGGACCAATTAAATGGAACTGTGTTACAGGTTAGTTGATTATCAATGAAAATACAGGCAGCTAACCCTTCTTCTCTTAGTTTATAATTTTATTTGAACATAGCACTTATAAAGTCGTAGGGCATTATCTTCCTTAACTGAATCCATGCTGGTGCTGTGAGATAAATCTTCCTTCTTAAAACTGTTCCAAGAGACGTTTCCCGGCAAGCTTCTCTAGCGCCTAACTGAGAATGGTCGATAAAGTAGCTACTGTGTAGTTTAGTGGTTCCTGTGTCCTTTTATTCTAGCACATTGGCACTACATTGGCAATCTTCCATTCCTTTGGCAACTCCCTCTTTTTCAGTGCTGAGTCGAAGAGCTAATGGGAGACTCAAGATAGCAGCTACATCTTTCAGTCTACACAAATTTCATTTGTTTTCTACAGGGTACTCACCTATTTGTTAATGTAGGTTCGAGCTCTAACTCTTGGACCCCGTCACTTTAGTCGTAGGTTCTCATTGTAATGACTCCTGACTTATTTCTATCTCATACCTGCTTTTAAAGTTGTAAATGAAATTAGCCTCTACAAACTTCTCATTTAGGTCTTCCCATTTACTGACTATCCTTAAGCTAAAAGAAAATTTTCTAACAATTCTATGACAGATCTGGGTCTCAAGTTTCCATCCTTACCCCTTTGTTCTATTGCTACTCATTGTAACCATTTCCTCTGTTTCCACCTTGTCAATACCCTCTAAGTATTTTATACGTCTGTATCATGTTCCCCCTTTCCCTCCTTTTTTCTACCGTTCCCAGGTTTAGTTCCTTCAATCTGTCTTAGTACCTCATCCCTCGGAGCTCTTGGATGAGTCTCGTTGCAAACTTCTGCACCTTTTCGAGCTTCCTTATGTGTTTTTTAAGATTGGGGGCTCCACGATGGGGCGGCATACTCAAAGACTGGCCTCTCATAGGCGGTATACAATGATCAAAAATTCTCCTTATTCCAGTTTCTGAAGGATATTCTGACTTTTGCCAGAGTAGAGTATGCGGCTGACGTTTTTCTATTTATATGAGCTTCTGGAGTTAGGTTTGGTATTATATCCACTCCCAGGTCTTTTTTCTCAAGACGTTATAGGGAGGTAGTTTCCCTTCATCGTATATTGTCCTTTCTGTCTTCTGGCTCCTGACTCCTTTTCCATCACCTTGCACTTGTTATTGTTGAACTCTAACAGCCATTTCTCGGACCAGCTCTGCAATCTGTTCAAGTCATCCTGGAGAATCTTGCAATCCTCATCTGCCTCAACCCTCATTAGTTTTGCATCATCTGCAAACATTGACATAAAAGACTCGACTCCTGCAGTCAAGTCATTTACATATAATGAGGAGGGTCATTTATGTAAATGAGGGTCATAAATGAGGGTCACAGCACCGATCCTTAACGCACCCTGCTTGTTACTCTACGCCAGTCCGATTTCTCGCCCCTCTCTCACACTCTCTGTCACCAGTCTCTCTGGTCATTCCTTACCCATGATAGTGCGTTTCCGTCTACTCCTGCCTGCCTCTCAAGGTTAAATAGTAGTCTTCTGTGTAGTACTCTTCAAAGGCTTTTTGGCAGTCCAGAAATATGCAATCTGCCTATCTTTCTCTGTCTTGCCTTATTTTCGTTACCTTATCATAAAACTCCAGGAGGTTCGTCAAGCAGGATTTCCCTGCTCTAAGGCCATGTTGTTGTTTAGTTACAAACCTAATTCTTTCTAGGTGTGCAACTAGTCTTAATATTATTATTCTTTCAATTACTTTGCAAGGGATGCTTGTGAGTGCCACAGGTATGTAGCTAAGTGCCGCTTCACTATCTCCTCTCCTGAAGATTTGCACCACATTTGTCTTCTTCCAGCAGTAAGGCAATTCCTCCTGTGTAAGTGACTCATTACAGATTAGTGCTAGAGGTATGCTGAGGGCATGTGCTGCTTCTTTAAACATCCATGGAAATATTCTATCTGGTCCAGTTGCTTTATTTTCATCTAGTGATGCTAGCTGTATTCTTACTTCCTCTGCTGTTACCACAATATGTAGTAGTTTCTCATCAGCGGCTGCTTCCCAATCTAGCTCTGGGAACTGTTCAGGCTCAATAGTGAACACTCCATGGGAGGTGGCATTGAACTCCTCACAAATTTCTTTTACCATTTTCTGTATACTGCCCCCCCCCCCATTTTTCGTAACCTGGTCACTTGGTCACTCACTGTCATTTTCCTTCTTATATAGCTATGTAGGAGTTTCGTTTGGCTCTTTGCTTTGGAAGCAATATAATTTTTCATAGTTTCTTTCTGCCAATATTCTTGTGTTCATGAAGTCATTCGTGGTCATTTGCATATATTCCGGTTTACATCTGTACTTTGCCTTCTTAATTTCCTCCACTTAATTTGCCGTTAATGGAGGTATGAATCTCTTTTGCATTTTTGCACCTCAGTTTTACTTGGTCCATCATTTCCTGGACAATCTTCCAAGTTCCTCCTCCCATTGCACACTTCTCAGATACTCTCTTAATGTCATGTAACTTACTTTCATGTTTCATGTAAGTGTGGTGGTGGGTGAGTGTTTATGACTCACATGTTGCTTAGAGTAAGGGATGGATGAGAGTTCATGAATCTAATGTTGGTTACAGTAAGGCAGTGGATGAGAGCCTATGGTCCGAATGTTATAGTAACATTCGGACCATAATTTATCTGAGTCGTTAATCCTATTGAAAATCTGAATTAATTTGTAACTTTCTATTGAAGTACACATTAAATCAGCACTTGTATGCTCATGTGAATGTCTGAGTGACTGTTTGTGTTCACCTAGTTGTGCTTGCGGGGGGGTTGAGCTCTGCTCTTTCGGCCCGCCCTCAACTGTCAATCAACTGTTACTAATTACTATTTTCTCCCCCCCCCCCACACACACACCCAGGAAGCAGCCCGTGACAGCTGACTAACTCCCAGGTACCTATTTACTGCTAGGTAGCATTGGCATCAGGGTGAAAGAAACTGTGCCCATCGTTTCTCGCCGGCGCCGGGAATCGAACCCAGGCCACAGGATCACGTGTCCAGCGTACTATCCACACAGCTACCGGCGCCCCGTGTCGGTGTGTGTGTGCTAATTATGCCTGGACCATACATATATAGACATTATTTACGTTACTTTCACTTATTAAAACTTTCCAAAATTCAAGAACATTAAAAATTCAACAAAAGTTATTCATTTACAGTTTACTAATTTATTTATTTCGTAACTCACTAACTCACACAAAAGCAACAACACACTAGATTTCATTTTGCTTATCAGATTCTTGGTGTTTTTACAAGATAAGATCCGTGTTTATGAAAGAGTAATCAGAAGCCGTCGTAGCCCAGCTGTAGGAGCGTCCTCCCCGGCCTCGCAGTCCGGTATTCCATTCATTTAAAAAAGGATGTCTTCTTTTACTGTTCACGTAATAAATGTTTTTCTTTTTTTCTTTTATTATTAAGATGAGAGTATTAATTTTGAAGGAATATTGTAAATTAGCGAACACTCTCAAGAGAAAATTGGAGATCATATCGATTTGGATGTGACTGTGGAACATTAGTAATTCAGGGACATTGCGTTGCCTAGATAATAGTCTTTTGGTAACCTGTTATGACCTCACATACACCAGTATATTCATACTGTGGTTGGTGAATGATGTGTTCAAACTTTTTGTTTGTTGCCGCCGAAGGCGGCTAGTTTATTGTGCACCCCATACTCATCCTGTGAGCGGTAGCGCAAAAGCATTACAGAGGGCACAAAAGGTCTTTATCAGACCTCATCTTAGATTATTACATAAACAATTTCTTCAATCCTTCACACCTTATAGATACAATGTCAGCTAGTTACAGAGAAAGTGCTATTACAAGAGCTACATATTTACAGTAAGTCATCATACATTAATGGTAGGTCTTATCGTTAATACATAATAGTTTGGCCAATGGGAATATTACAGAGTCATAGGGGAGCTTCTGTTTATTATTAGTCCTCACAATACACTACTTGTTTCTGAATCTCATATGTCGTTCATCTACTGGAAGCAAAATGTGGGTACAGTGCAAGGATTTCAGGTAATTTATCCATGGTAATAAGATAGGTTGCCATATCATACAGAGTGAGCTTAGACTTATCTCTAAAAGGCTCAATTTTACAACAATCCAAGATATAGTGTTCGAGTGTGTGTCCCTGCCTATGTCCACACACTTTACACTTTACTTCATCTAGATCCCTATACAAGCCGAACTGCCAGAGATACTTGTAGCCAAGTCTTATACGAGCTGTGACAACATCTGTTAGTCTACTGACTTTGTTACTTGCCCCATACACATGTTTTACTTCACACATTTCATTGTGATGAACAATGGACCTACTAGTTCCAGTTTGCACTGTTCTAATTTCTTCAAATCCATCTAGGAGTTCTCGTCTAATGACACTTTTAAGGGACCTATTTGATAACTCAAGATTCCATTCAATACTGTCTTTATTTACTGCAGCCTTAGCAAGGGCGTCAACTTTGTCATGTTCCTGCATGCCAATGTGAGAAGGAATCCACAACATTTTTATATTTACCCTCTTGCTAAGTATTCTTACATATCTACGTCTAGCTTCCAAGACAAGCACGTTATTACTTGATTGCAAACTGTTTATTGCTCGTAGTGAGGATAGGGAGTCAGAAATAATTAAGCTGTCTACTTCAGTGTTGTCAATAATTTCTAGTGCTACCAGTATCGCTACCAACTCAGCCTGCATTGTGGACGCCCAGTTACTAATTCGGATATTTCTTTGAATTGTGCTGCCATCGGGCTGATGAGCAATAACAGCACTTCCTGCCCTCCCTGTAGCTGTATTGAGTGATCCGTCAGTGTATATGGTCTGTGCAATGTTGTTTTCAGCTTGTATATTGGGAATGTGCTCTATGGTGCTTAATTTAGCAGCAAGCTGAGCATGAGGGTTGCTTGTGATTAGTTTCTTGGTGGGGTATGCAGGGGTCAGGATGTCAAAAGGTACTATCTGCCAGGGTGGAAGGAAGTGCTGTACTCTTTCATCTGTATATACATCGTGCAGTCCCATCAGTCCCATCATGAGTGGCAGTTCTTTGAATCCATTTAGACTCGCTAGTTCCATTTCGTATGTGTTCTAACAGTGCAACTGACACAATGTTGTTTTTGTTATCACGCAGCAGCTTTAGTCCCATCATAAGATTAATTTCAAATATTCTATCTCGAATGCTAAGTATATTTAATTCTTTCCGCATGTTGAGAACTTTGGTAGTTATAGGACTGCCAAGTATAATTCTGAGTGCTTCATTTTGCATTTTTTCCAGTCTATCAATACTTTTGCCATTCTGCAGGACCAAAGCTGGTGCATGATAGTCTATCAGAGACCTTATATACGCTAAATACATCATTCTTGCTATTCTAATATTAACACCATATTTCGGGCTGTACCCCACTACAGTTCTGAGAGCCTTGAGTCTGTCTCTACATTGTTGATGTAACTTATTGACTGCAGTTGAGGTACAAGGGACAGAGACACCAAGGTATTTGAAAGAAGAGACATAGTCTATTGGTATGTTGTCTATCTTAAGTTTTCGTGGTCCACTTTTGCGGTTGCCAATTTGTCTGTTAAATACCTTAGTTTTAGCAGCGTTGATTACAAGACCAAGGCTCTCACAAGCTGTATGTATACAATTTAAGACTGTTTGCATTTCGCGGTGGGTTTTAGTATGCACAAGGATGTCATCTGCATAGCTGATAGTGATGTTTGCCGGACTAGTTGGGATTGATTTTAGTAAACCATTAATTAGAACATTAAACAAGGTAGGACTAAGTACTCCTCCTTGTGGGGTGCCTAGTTGCATTACTTTAGTTTCACTCTTGTAGCCTCGGAACAGTGCAGAGGACTTCCGGTTGGTAAGATAGCCTCGTATCCATTGTAATAAATGTCCCTCTATATCCATTCTCGCTAATTCATACATAATCACTTCCCTATTAGCAATATCAAAGGCATTTTTTAAATCAAGAAATGTTGTGTACTTGTGCCTTTTATCTCCATGAACAGTAAGAAAGGTTGTGATACAGTTGTGTACGCTTTTACCATGTGTGAAACCATTGATATCAGGTGACATGTGCTCTTTAACTCTATACAATAATCTATTAAGCACCATTCTCTCAAAGGTTTTGCACATGCAACTGGTCAGTGAGATGGGACGGAAAGCATCAGGTTGTCCAGGCTTTGGTACAGGTACCGTAAGACTGGTGGTCCATGATACAGGCAACTGCCCAGTGACATAGCTGGCATTAAACAATTCTAATAATGGGTTACCGGGTACACGATGTAGGATTCTTAGAATATCATAGGTGATACCGTCCTCACCAGGAGCAGTGCTCCTGCCCCTGGAGAGAGCTGCATCCAATTCATGATCTGTATATGGAACATCACATTCATCATGTTGCTTGCTCAACATGAAATTTATGAGAGCATTTCTGTCTGTGGACCTCTCCCGCAATTTCTCCCTAGTGCTAGCTGGTAACATTCCAAGGCTGGAAACCTGAGCCCATTTTGCAATTAACTGATTGGCTTTCTGTAGCGGGTTTGGGTGTGAAACTTGTCTACTATTTTTACCAATAATTTTGTTTATGCCTTTCCAGGCTTTGCCCAAGGGAGTATGCAGGTTAAGTCCACTAACAAAACCCTCCCATTTATTTTGTCTCAGTTCAGTCATTCTCTCCCTTGCCGCTGCAAGCGCGGCCTGAAACAGTTTTAACATTTGAGGAGTTATAAGGTTCTTTTATGCTTTACCTGTCTGTCTAGCAATTGATTTAAGCTCTTTCAGTTTAGCATCATTATAGTACTGGTTGTGTCTGACCTGTTTACCAGTACTTCTTTTTGTTTGGCGTAACTCACTATTTTTGATGGCCTCATAGGTATTATTTATGAGGTCATCATAAAACTGTTGTACATTCTCTGGCTCATAATTGTTATACCAATGTTCTATGCTGTCTATAAAGAATTTTTCTTGCTCTTTCCTTACTGTTAGCCTGCGTCTACTCAGCTTAGTGCCAGGTAGGTCAACATTAGCCACGTGTATGTTAGCTGTTATGGCTAAATGGTCAGACATTAAGTCATCCATAATATCAGTCTCA